TTAAATAAATGATGTTTAAAATAACAAACACTTCAAATATGTCATCTTGATTCATAGAGTATAATTAAATTAATGAAAAATGTGTAAACAAACTTGTGTCTGAAAACATTTCGTTTTTAAAATACAGATTGTTAAAGATCTAGAAAAAAATCATAATTTTCAAAATTACATGAAAATCAATATAGCGATTTCATTAAAATTTAGAGTGTTTCTGATTATCCATAAATATGTACATGTGGAGATATTTTATATTCAGGGGCATAGTTTCGAGGTTGACATAGTAATTTTTATCCCAATTTTTCTAAATTGAATTCACTATCGTTATAGGACACAAAAAATTGGTTTTTACTACACGTTGTTAGAATGAATCATTTTCGAGATAAATGGCAAAATGATGCATTTTGTTTACACTATGTATAAAAACAAGTTTTATTTTTTTTTTTAATTTGTGGAATAATCTATCTCTAAAATAGTTATTTTACATTTGAACTGGATTTATATGAATAAGTCAGTGCTTGCATAATAGTTTCGTTAGAGAGGGAGAGGGGGGGGGGTAATGATTTAAGATGTAAAGTGAGATAATAATTTTGAATTACATGCGAACCTTTGATTCAACTCCGTTGATCAACTTTTTAGGGAATCAACAAAAAAATCTTTGAAATTGTTCAGTGATCGCTAAATCTCTGACAAGTTGAACGTTTGATCGTAAACCAGCCCCCTCATGCCACGTTATTAGCGTGTTTTTATATATGATAATTTTTGTCTGTTCTTTCAAAAAAACTGCTACTATCTCTCACCTACCTAAAATTAAAATTTGATTAATAAATAATCAACCTTTACTGATCAACAGAAGTCTGAATTCGGAAGTCCCTGTCTTTATGGTTTGTATCATTAAGTAGCAGTGGTAAGCAGTGTATTCAATGATTTGTACAGTGTGAATCGTCTTGGGGGCAATATTTATTTATAGTCCAATTTTCCCATTTCCCTTAACCATAAGCCATTTCATATTTTTCTGTACTAACTGTAGGCACTTACGATGTGTCCTTTGAGGTTTTTAATACTTATAGCTCATTTTTTTCAATACCTACATATTTAATATTCAAAAATATGACAAATAATTAAACTTCTGTCTTCTGCGTATCAAATGTCGAATCAATTTGACATGTTTTTAAACTGTGGTTATGTTTGATAAAAATGTCATTGCCATATAAACTGAACAGTGTCTTAGAAATGGTAGATAGGGATGTGTCCAACATTAAGGTAAATGAATGTATAAAATAGGTTGAACATATTTCTACAACTATACAATCCTGTAGTAAGCAGTAAAATTATTTGAATTGATAATATGTAGTTGTAAGTAGTAGTACAATACAATAGACGGGTAATATTCTATTAAACATACTTTTTAACCAGGAAAAAGAGCTGAGGCTTATTTGAAATTAATAGTATCAGTGTTTATATCACTAGTGCCATTATATCTTAACTTTTCCATATTTTTAACTGTGGTATATTATTTTATGATTCGTGTCTTACGTCACGCCATGCATCACGCTTTTAAACGCATGTTAATGCCTTGTGGCGCCCATGTAAATAAAGCATTTATTTGCAGTTAGCTCTGCCGACGTCAATCATTCTATTATTGGAACTGGGACGATTATTAGGACTGAAATCACACCCAGATAGTCTCTATTAACAACAAAGACATTCCAATTATGTTTCTATTGTATAACTCATTATAAAAATTATCTGGCCCTGAATTCAATTTTGTTTTTTGAAAAAACCCTTTTGATCGTAAAATTATAGTCTTGAACTATCTTTGGAATATAATTTTAAATTATAATGTCACCAAGGAGTAAATAATTAACCACCAAGAAAGATTTGTTTGAAAAACTTACTAGTATATACTGATGTAGGTATTTATTTTACTCACTTTCTCTAGTATCGATTTAGCAAACAAAAAACATTGTTAATCCTTAGCACACTGTACATCACTTTAAATTAAATTTTCTTAATTTCTTTAATACATATACCTCCAAGTATTGTTATATGTATCTTTTAACTGGTTTTATTGCACAGAAAATATGTTTTGTGAATTTATTGAACATATCCATACTAATAAAGGAACTTATAAATAATGCACCAGTTAAATTTGTCGCTATTTTTTAACTTACAAACCCGATTGCACCCCATTTTACTGATTCATTTAAAGGCACTGAGCCACAAATTACGACAGGTGGACAAGACATGTTAAGAATGTTAAACTTTATGCCAACTACGTGGGCATTATAATTATACTTCGGTGTTTGTAATCGAGAGGCAAAACAAAGTAACGCATTTGAGAACGGCTGGACATTGTTATGAATGTAATACTTTTTTTTGAATTTGTAGAAAATAAAGTTTTAAGTCAATCGTTCACCGCTTCCAATATTTCATAATGGCAATTTACTTATGATTTGTGTAGTTACCTCCCAGAATTAAATTTACAAAAACAAATTTCCAGTACTTTGAAAACTGAAAACTGAAAAACTGAATTTTACCCACAAAGTCTCTTGTCTGACAAGTTTTCGTTTGTCTCTAATGTAAAAATCATCATCAAGATATCAATAAGAATTTAACATTCTTATAACAAATACCTAATTTTAACCCAACGGTTTTCTTTGAATGATTATCTTAGGTTTGTTTCTACAGCAGATGAGGACTGATTTGAAACTATCAGAGATATTTGACCAATTGATTTGTGACCATAGACTCGCTAAAATTACGTGACAACTTAACTGGCCGAGTATATGTGACAGTTTAAAAACAGTTTGATACTGCTGTAGAAACAAACCTATTATTTGATGATTTCGATATCAGTCATGTGTTTTTTCCATTCCATTTCCTGTTTGGATTGATTTTTTATGTCGATTTTAGATGATTACCAAATTACTAAGGACTCATTTTTTAGCACACTTATGAAACTATAATCATTGGAGTTATTAATTTATTTATTGACTGTTAAGTACCGTGAATTTTTTAATATTATCTCTGTTTTACTGAATTTCTAGGGTTTTAAATATAGGCAACTGGCTAAGTCAATAACAATTGCGTTATCTTATGACATAAATAGTGTTCTTCTAGTTATCTATTAATTTTTAGTGGCCTGAATACGGTCCTGTTAGAGCCCACTTATTTCGCGGCTTTGCCTTTATAAAAAATTAATTTAACTTTTAACTAATAATATATGTGTAGACTTAGCCTAGTGTCAATGAATAATTGCTCACTGGCATTACCAACACTCGCATATCGCTGTACGTATTTATATTTATAAAATTTGGCACATTGCCCGTTTCGCATAATTTCAAACTGACTCAGAAGCCAATAAACTGATTTTAAAGAAAATAAAATTGTGTGTAATATATAGGAATGCCGTGGATTTCGTCCAATTCTGACGAAACCATCTTTACAAACTTCGAAGTTACATATTATTTATGTAATTATTTGTAACGATTGGAAATGATGCGATATTGTAGAAGGTGCCACTTCTACAAAAGTAAATCTTGGATATCGTCCAGATAGACTGGGTTAATTGAAATATGTTTTTTTTAATCTAAAATTATAACGGAAGGCTAAAATTCTCTATATAAAAACGCAACGGTTTCTAAAATATGTTATTTTGATGTAGGTTATTAGATAACTGTATCCAATCTCCTACGGTTCCATTTAAAAGTAGATGTCTCATGAAATTCTTACATTTTAATTATTTGCTATCGATATATCGAAAATGGGTGACGAAAATAACGGATATTTATACAGGGCGTTTCAACAAAATTGCTACAGGAAATACCTTTTTATTTTTTTATTGGCGGTTTTCTCTCCCTCGAGAGTAAATAATAAAAAAACTTTTCCGTAATAATCCTTTATAATTGCATTTCTATTCCTCGAAAATCACGAAATAATTTAAACCATTTTTAATGTCCTACATTATTTTAGTATATTGAATCTCCATTTATTTTCTATTTTACATAGACATTTATTTTTTCAATGAAATTATAATGTAATATACATAACATGTTTATCCATCCATCGTCCAGTCCTTAAAACCACTTAACTCGAAAAAGTTAATTTTTCGATAAAGTTACCCTTCCAAAAAAAAATGGTTTTGATAAAAAGAGTAAAATTAGAATTTTTCTTCGTAAATGATTGTGACGTTTTCTTGGATGACTACTAAATAATATTAAATGCTTGGTTTAAACTTTAGCAGCAAATTATAAAATAATAGTGTATTTTATAATCAGAAAAATGACAGGATTTTAAAAAATCTTGAATTTTTAGGTGATTTTCAAAAATCTGTAACTAGGCGAGAGGTAGTTGTAGAGCAATAAAAAAACAAATTGAAGCTTGAAAGTAAAAAAAAAATTAAAAATAATTTTTCAAAAGTGCATTTTAAAGAATAAGCATAGTACTTTAAGACCCCATTAATGGTTTTAGCAAAAAAAATACCTATTCATATAACTTAACCTCAAATATGTTAAGAAAATCGCGATTTTGGCACTTTTTGGTTAGGATATTTCGAAAACCAGAGTCAATTGAGAAATGTGGACCTCAAATTCGAATTCAGCGCAACAAAATCCTTCCGAAAAGTACGTTCTGGTTTAGACGATCGGCCTGTATTATTGAAGCCTGTGGACCTTTTGAAATTTTAAATTTTTTGCGCTGGATTTCTTATGGTTAACTCTGATCCTGAAACTTCAAGCTTCAATTTGCTTTTTTTTTCGATTTACTACCACTTTTCGCTTAGTTACACATTGTGAAAATTTAAGATTTTATTTATCCTTTAATTTTTGTGATTTTGTAGTTTATTATAATAAGTCGACACAAATTTAAATAGACCAGTTTAACTAAAATTTCGCGAGTAAAAATCGAATAAAAAAACTTTATAAATAGAATCACTCTTGTAACATCGTTATCACACTTGCGAATATTACAGATTATGCATTATTTATATTTTTTTCTTTCAGACATTCACAGCGTGGTGTAACAGCCACTTAAGGAAAGCCGGGACCGGAATAGACAATATCGAAGAAGACTTTCGCAATGGCCTTAAACTCATGTTACTTTTGGAAGTTATTTCCGGGGAAACTTTGCCCAAGCCTGACCGTGGTAAGATGCGGTTCCACAAGATCGCTAACGTCAACAAGGCGCTAGATTACATCGCTAGCAAGGGAGTTAAGCTTGTCTCTATCGGTGCAGAAGGTAAGATAAATTGAAATGAAAAAATTAGCTAAAGAAGTACGCTAGACATAGACATAAAAGAGATTATTACTAGATTGATTTCATGAAACAATAAAATTTCTTTAGAGAAGTTGTTATGTAAGTTAAGCCTCGGGTGAAGCTGACGACGCCAGTTATGTGAAAACACTGCTTATAAAATTTAAACTATAACTGTCAGTTGCTTCGTGATAAAACTACCCGTTTTACCCTAAGTATACGGTTCGGTTTTTTCCAAATAAAGTCGCAAGATCTTGAATAAATCTTTATTCTTTAGGTGTATTAGAATCTTTTTCAAAAGTAAAATGCAAACGAAAAACCTACATATTTATTTGACACTGACTGTTCTCTTTTTTCTGCCTGCCCCGATTTTTCAAAAAAAAAACATTCACTGGGAGTATGGTGGCTCTGACAATAACCGATATTGACATTTTGGTCATATTCTTTTCAACTTCAAGCTTTCAAATATCGCTGTAAAAAATGTTATTTAAACGAACCATTCATCGCATTCATTATTATTAATTGATTTATGAAATATTTTTCTTCGCTTACCATTTTTGCTACAAAAATAATGCCAAATGACTTGCATGTCGCCATCTGTATCTGTAAAATGATTAATTTTTGTTTAAACATCGAAAATTGCATTATTTCCATAGACCTTAGTTTACTAGGTCTATGATTATTTCTCAAAATTTCGAAAAGTGTCAAAAAGAAAATCGTTTAGGTACTCTTTAAATTTATATTCATATAGAGATTGTAATTTTTTCATTGAGACATTTTTAATTGAATGAAATATGAATAATGATATAAATGCTTAAAATAAATTTTTATAAAAAAAGCAAAAAAAATTTATCAAAATTTTTCAAAAGTTAAGTTTATCTAGTTTCGACAATATATTCCAAACCCCTTTTTATTTTCATTTCTTATTGTAAAATAATTAAAAAGTCTTGTTATTTGTCAGTATGATTTTTAAAATATACAGGGTGTCCCGGTACTTCATACAAAAAAGTTGAGTACAGATAGATGAGGTTAAAATAATATCAGTTCTTTTTGTAATTTTTTTTTCATACGGGCCTTCGTTAACAAGTTACTTGCCCTCAGAAGTGAAAATTAAAAAGTTATTTTTATTTACAGTATCTAAACTATTAACTTCAGTATGCTGCAAATGTGGTGATCGATAACACATGCGTACAGCTCGTTTTTGATGTTGTAAGTGAAACTTCATTATACCCAGAACGCCAGGGACGGACTATGCCCAATAGTTAATCACCCAAAATGTTTGCATAGATGACGATCGCAATCTGCCTGTATCAAAAATATGTTTCCCGAAGAATTTGCCAACAATAATACCCTCTTAGTTCAACTCGGTAAAATTAACAGTTTAGGAAATATTTGTGATTTTATGTCGCAGTTAGTGATGTAAATGATAAAATGACAAATTGTTACTTACATAAATTACTGTAAAATTACCGTAATATTACGCACAGCGAGATAACGGATATAATTTATGTAATTTTTGTAACTTACGTAAATTACGTAATTTACTGTAATTAATGTTAATTTACACTTAATTTTAAATATCGCGCCAATTTCAATTTTGACATTTAAGGTTTTATAACCATTCCATTATTTTAGCAGTATTAGCATTCATTTTGAAGAGTATAGTGATGGTGAGGATAAGGACCAGGTTATACAAGCTCTAATAGCTGTTTTACATTGACAATTTATTTATGAATAAATTAACGAAGTTCTTCACGAATTAATTCACGAATTTATTGGTAAACAGTGTGGTTTTACACTGCTACAGACATTGTCAAGTTTTTTGACGCATAAATCAGTTCTTTCAACGAATCAAAGAAGCAAATAAATTTCAAAAATGTCACCTTTACACTCATAATTGTAGTGACACAACAGCGGTACCGTTTTGACACATATCATGTAAACATTAGTTTTTGTAAATAACAAATCAGTAAAAACAATGCAAAACTAGCACGACGCCACACAATTATTTACATATTCCAATAACATAACCTCATTACTGATCTGAGGCAGGAAATCTGTTGGGTTGGTACTTCTGAACTTCACGAAGAAATTGACGAAAATTAGAACATGTTCTAATTCGTCAAAAACTTGATGAATAAATTCATGAAGTTATTTGACAGTAGACAAGAAATTCGACAAGTGTAATGCACCAAGCATTACACTTGTCCAATTTCTTGATGAAGCGACTTCATGAATTAATTCATCAATAAATTGTCAATGTAAAACAGCTATAAGAATAAGGTATTACCTGAAAGAAATGAAGAATTTGAGGCAAAATGTAATAAAAAAAGGCGTGTTATTGTTATACAAAATATTTCATTTGAAAAGGTTTGTTTTTCGTTGTTGCATTTTTTTCGTTCATAATTTTCACTAAAATTTAGGTTGACCATGCAAATACCGAACTGACAGAAATAGATAGAACGAAAGAGGTATAAAAGGAAACATAAATAAACGACGATGAATTAAAAACTGTTAATAGACATTCTACCAAAAAAGGCCTATGTTCCAGAAAAACAAATGCTTAAAGAAACGAAAGCTGTTTTAAATAGAAACCTAAATATTTGTATTTAGATTTGATTTATTTTTTTTGTTACTGCTGCACTTATATAAATGTTACATATATGAATAAAAATTTTATTTTTTTGCATAAAAATCGTCAAATATTATTTTTTAATCATTGAAAGTTTTATCGATTGAAGTTTTATAGTAGCTGAGTACTGAGAAGCTAAACAAGCTGAGTACGCATGTCGTAAAATTTAAATGTCATAAATTACAAGCTAATTTGTAAATTACATGAAATGTTACCAGTAAAATTACATTTTCATAAATTACAAGTAATTTAACATCACTAGTCACAGTGCACATCAAGCGGCGCCTCCGCCATTTTTTGTTTTTAATTTTTAATTGGACATAATTACTATGTTAGCACCGTACATATTTTTAAAATAACAACCTAGAAAATCTTACTGTCCGTTAATGGAATTTTCACTAGGTAACAAAATTTGACAAATACGCTTTACACATACCTAATACAAAATAAAAAAACAAAACAAGAATAAGTTAAAGTTAAAAAAATTATTTAAAAGAAAGAAAACCATCAAAACACATTTTCAGTAAGGGCACTTTTCACCTTCACACACTTCCTAAGTCCACGAATGTCATTTGTTTGTACACGAAAAAACATTTCTGGGGTATGTCTAATACTATCACAATGGAAATTAATTCTTTGTAGCAATTCATCCATTGCCTGTACTGGGGTTGCTTATACTAAACCTCCCGACTGAAGAAGTCCATCAGGTTAAAGTCTGGAGAACGTGGTGGCCATGAAATTGGGCCTCTTCTCCCAATCCATTTATTATTAAAAACAATGGATAAATAATTTCGTACATCAATATTGAAATGGGGAGGCGCCCCATCGTGCATGAACCAAACGTTTCTTCGGGTATCTAATCGAACATCGAATAGTAACTGCAAATTCTTTTGCAAAAATTCCAAATATCGATGTCGATTCAGACATTCCTCAAAAACGTATGGACCTATTAAATTATTACCCTTTTTGTGTACAAACAAATAACATTCGAAGACTTAGGATGTGTGTGGAGGTGGAAGGTGTTCATATTGAAAATACATTTTGATAGTTTTCTTTTTTTAATTATGTTTCTAACTTATTCTTGTTTTGTCTTTCTATTTTGTATTATGTATAAAGTGTGTTTGTCAAATTTTGTTAATGAAAATTACATTAGCAGACAGTAAGATTTTCTCGGCTCTTATTTTAAAAATATGTATGCTTCCGACATAGTAATTACGTGCAATTAAAAATTTAAAACAAAAAATGGTGGATGCGCTGCTCGATGTGCACTATTACATAAAATCACAAATATTTTCTAAACTGTTAATTTTGCCGAGTTGAACCAATATATTATCGTTGGCAAATTATTCGGGGAATTTATTTTTGATACAGGCAAATTACGATCGTCATTATATGCAAAAGTTGTTAACCATTGGGCATAGTCCGTCCCTGACGTTCTGGGTATAATGAAGTTTCACTTACAACATCAAAAACAAGCTGTACGCATGTGTTATCGATCGCCAAATTTGCAGCATACTGAAGTTAATAGTTTAGAGACTGTAAATAAAAATAACTTAAATTTTCACTTTTGAGGACAAGTAACTTGTCCCGTATGAAAAAAAAAAATTATATCAAGAACTGATATTATTTTGACCTCATCTATTTGTACTCAACTTTTTTGTGTCAAGTACTGGGACACCCTGTATATAATTAAAATAAGAGTGAATAACAGCGAAGAAACTAAAAATAGGCAATATACATGAAAATTTATTTGTTTTCTTAGAACTGCATAAATTCAATGTCTGTCTTGTCCGTCTGCCGCCTAGTCTACAATTTTCATGCGGACGAGTTAAAATCTAATCCAAAGAAACGTACGTGCAGGCACCTCCAAGCAGAGTGAATTTAGCCGTTTCTGGACTTTTGTTACTTACTATGATAATGCTGTCCAGCCGTCCTATTCTTGCCATTCATCTTCTCGATTCTTGATCCCACTAAATGACGTCAGGAAAACAAAATACGGTATTCCATTTAAAAAAAATATTGTTTAAGCAGCTACTGAAGAAATCTGACAACACCGGAAAGCATTATTTGTAAATTTTTCTTAGTCAAGTTATTTTGTACAACTTTGCATTGGAAGTACTAGTCTATCACTTCAAATAAAAAAGTTGGTGTCAGGTTTTAAAAAATTACACTGTATATTTTGAGCCAGACATGCAGGATGTAACTTAAGAACACAAACTTACTTCAGAGATCATTATTTTAAGAAATGTTCATGTCGACCTGTTTTACGAATGGCTTAGTTTTCGAGATACAATATGTTTTCAAAAGAATAGCACGTTTAGGAGTAGTCCATTAATCACGTGAGGTTTTTAGGCCACTTTTTTACACCTTCCCTCTCCCCTGGTGATACGTGGTGAGGTTGTAAGTCGAACTATATATATATTGTTTAAAAAACTTCAATATATTCAGAATATTTTTTTATGAAAATCAGTAAAATAACAGCAAAAAACAGGGGTGGTTGTCAACCAGCGCGGGCGGGGCGACGGGCGACGATCTTATAACTGTTTTACATTGACAATTTATTGATCAATTAATTCATGAAGTCGCTTCATCAAGAAATTGGACAAGTGTAGTGCACCAAATCTGCTGTCAAATAACTTCATGAATTTATTCATCAAGTTCTTGACGAATTAGAGCATGTTCTAATTTTCGTCAATTTCTTCGTGAAGTTCGGAATTACCTTGGGAAGTACCAACCCAACAGATTTCCACCCTCAGATCAGTAATAAGGTTATGTTATTGGAATATGTAAATAATTGTGTGGCGTCGTACTAGTTTTGCATTGTTTTTACTGATTTGTTACTTACAATTAGAAACACTAATATTATATAATATGTGTCAAAACGGTACCGCTGTTGTATCACTACAATTATGAGTGGAAAGGTGACATTTTTGAAATTTATTTGCTTCTTTGATTCGTTGGTAGAACTGATTCATGCGTCAAAAAACTTGATAAGTTTGTAGCAGTGTAAAACCACACTGTTTACCAATAAATTCGTGAATTAATTCATGAAGAACTTCGTCAATTTACTCATCAATAAATTGTCAATGTAAAACAACTATTACAAAGATCAACCACGTCAATTGCGCATTACTTATCGTGATGTACCTATATCGTAGCTCACAGCAAGGTATTCTCGGACATGGTTGCACGAAAATATACACGTGATATGTAACAACAACCCCCCTCCCCTATCTGGACCTCACGTGATTAATGGATGACCTCTTACGAAAATATCTAAAATAAGTTTATTCTAGATTTATGAAACTTGACCTTGGGTTTTGAAACCCAGAAAGCATTTTAAAGTCACTGAGTATTTTCAAAATTCGATAAGTACATTTGATTCTGAATTCTTGATAACTGAAACTTTTAAGAACAACAATGGTGACATCAACTACCGTTTATTTACAATATTATTTCCTTAGTATTATTGATTCTTTAAAATTTAGTTCAGTCATGACACTCGAATAATACTAGCACTCAAAGTGACATTTACAAATAATAAACATAGAGTGTATCATACTACTCGATTACAAAAGATAAAACTAGATAGTTCTTGAGCCTTTCATGTGAACTCTACAGGGTGTCCCAGAATATGTGGACAATCTCTCGGATTTATACAGGGGATGTTAAAATAACATGACAATTCCCTATTGTCCCTCCGTTGGGGAAGGCCTCTAGGGGAAATTTTTATAGGGACTTGTCATGTTATTTTAACGTCCCCTGTATAAATCCGAGAGATTGCCCACATATTCTGGGACACCCTGTATAGGTAGTTCTACAATTATGAAAAATTTACCATTTCTTACATGTAAATATGGAATCGCATTCATTATTTATGTTGTTTTAACATCATTAAATTTAAAATCCTGGTATTGTTGAAGACATATCATTCGACAACTTATGAAAACTAGAATAATAGCTCAGAAACTGAAAGTAGGCAACAATCACTAAATATTACAAACAAGATAAATAAGTAGTTTTGGATACAAAACCGATTTATTAATATTTTTTTTATAATAACATTTGCTTAAAATACCGAGGTTAAAATATTAAATAAATTTTCACATCTACTTACTAGCAAAACGTGTGTCGAGTACAGTGTTATTTAATTTTCTTACAGAAATTGTTGATGGCAACTTAAAAATGACCCTTGGTATGATTTGGACCATCATCCTGCGGTTCGCAATCCAAGATATCTCCGTAGAAGAAATGACTGCTAAGGAGGGTCTGCTGCTTTGGTGCCAGCGTAAGACTGCTCCATATAAAAATGTCAATGTTCAAAATTTCCACCTCTCCTTCAAGGACGGTCTGGCATTCTGTGCTCTGATCCATCGTCACCGTCCAGATCTCATTGATTATAATAAGCTCTCCAAAGACAACCCCCTAGAGAATCTCAATACTGCCTTCGACGTTGCCGAGAAGTATCTCGACATTCCAAGGATGTTAGATCCTGATGGTGAGTGAACTTACTGAATTCGTAATGCTATTTTTTTATGCAGGGTTACATAATTTTGAAAACTTTTATATGAGAAAAAGGTGATATATAGAAAAAGTAAATACCAAGCGATGCAATTAAAAAAATTGTTTTTATACCACCTTTTTCAGACAAATATTGTAAACTTTAACTTCAATTTTCATTTCATTTTCTACAACAAAGTTTTAGTATGAGATGTATTGTTTGGTATTATATGGGGTGTTTTCCAAGTCCATGTCATAACTTCAAATTGTTCTTTGGATCGGTTTAGACCAAAAAAACTGTAATTAATCGTATGTATAAACCCAATGATTTTGAGATATGGGTTGTTGAGAATTAAAAAATTATTACATTTATTCAACATGTTTGATTGCTATATAAATCTGTTAACCAGGGTGGAGATACTCGGAGGCATCTTCATTAAGAACCTCAGAATTTCGGTGCCATTGGAAATGAGATCCTTTTGTCTTCAATTCGTAAAAATTTCGGAAATTATTTTACCTTTTAATCTTTTACATTAATTTATTTGTGCCACAAAAGAATGTATAATTTTTTGATCAACCATCAAAATCACAAAAAAATTATTGCTTATAAATTTTTAATTGTGAGGAATAGCGGGAAGACAGCTCCTAAAAAATATTTTTTTATGTAATTATTTTTTTCTGGACTTTTTGATAGGTATTATATTTAAAATGAAATTTCAAAGAAAAACTTCCTATACAATTTTTTTGTATAAATTTTTACCTTCAATTTTTTAAACCATTACCACACGGTTTATTAATTTAGTTTGATTCAGAGATATTTAAATAAATGTAGGTACATATTTTCTTACAAACTCAACACTATCTCGAAAATCAATAGCTATAAGACTTTAGGTTTAATATGACCCAAAGAATAACCACCCGAAGGAATGAAATCGCTTATAAAACACTGTATTTTAATAAATATCAAATCTCTGCAATTATTTTTTGGCACTTCACTTAAGATATCAAATTTAAAAGAATACACTTTTTTTTCTTGTGCCAACATATTCTTAAATTGAATATAACTATTTCTAAATTTTTCATCATAATAATAGATGCCCTGTTCTACAAATGAAATGGAAAACATCAAAGATATTTGCGAAAACTCGAATTTGAGTAAACCTGTCATAATAAATTGCAGATTTAATCAACACACCTAAACCTGATGAGCGTGCCATCATGACATATGTGTCATGTTACTATCACGCTTTCCAAGGGGCCCAACAGGTATCGATTGTACGAAAGTGTCTCAAATTAACCTACCCTAACCCAACGTGATTTTTGCAGCTACTTTTTAACCCTGTTCCAAAAAAAAAACTCACCACAGAGCTAAAGCGGACCATTTACTGTTTTTTTTGTTTTTGTTTTTGTTTTTTATTTATAACACAATTTCATGAATTTGTTCTATTGTTGTTGTTTGCATGTAGACTTACAGAACACAGCTATGCCGGACGAACGAGCAGTGATGACTTACGTTTCGTCGTACTATCATCGTTTCTCAGGTGCACAAAAGGTGTGTGTTCCCCAATTTTTCTTTAATACTATTAACACGTTTATATAGTAGCTTTCAAGATACCATCTGCAATAAATAGTTTTAAAAAAAATAAATATGCAAACTACTTCAATTTAATAGAAAATTTTAGTAAACCTGGTGAATAAATGAACACGATATAATTTTTTAACTTAAAACCAAGTTTAAAACCAAATATCAGGACATAACTGTTTGACAGTCACAAAAATTAATTTAAATACAAGGTGACCAATTAAGAATGGAAACACTCGCGTACAAAAGTTGTTTATGGGCCGATTTGAACCGGTTTTTTTTTAAAGATAGATCTCCAAAAGCTCTATCTTGATGCAAAATTTGAAGACGAAATTTTGATTTTCAAGGCCTACTACGATTTTTTTTTTAATTGAAAAATAGCAAAATTTTGTTAGTGATTTTTTTGTCAAAAATCTGACCACACCACTGGATTTAAGGACCCCTCAAATGCATTTGTACCAATTTTAGCGAAAAAAAGTTTGCCCCTAAAAAAATTATGACAATATCGGCATTACCAGTGTTTGCCGTTGTTGGTGAACCTATTCTTTTATAAAACCGAATAGAATCCAAAGGGAAACAGAATTAAATAACAGACACTGATTTAATAATTATTAATAAGAATAATAAAAACTAATATACATAAAATAAACAACAAGTTCGTCAAATTATTATTATTTCGTGGTTATTATGCCAAAACTTACAAATATTACCTTCTTAGACAAAAATAATTACATTTATAATTTTTTTTTATTCAAAAAGCTACTGGATTCTACATCCATAATCCAATTCATTGTGAAGAATTTTCTGAAAAAAATATTACGAGATATTCCAGAAAATATCGTTGCTTAAAAATAACATGAACAAAATTTGGTAGTCTGTGAAAAATAGAAGTTTAGACAACAAATGTCAAACAAAGTAGTCGCACATTGTAATATTTTTTGTGCATCGTTAAATAAGTTCCATAATTCTTTGCTATGGCTAAAAGTTTAACTTTACATGAGAAAATTGAAATAGTACGACTTTCTGGAGAAAATGATAGGACGGTAAGAGAGGTGTGTATAATTTTTAACAACAGACATCCAGATAGACCTAATATTATGCATACCACAGTTTTTAAAATAAACAATACTTTTATGGAATATGATGCTGTATCAAAATGCATTTTAAAAAGGGACAATCAATGAGAGAAGACGTATTCACGAGCAGGAAATTTTAAATTATTTTACAAACAATCCTCAGAATAGCCTCAGGACTGCTAGTTTAGATTTAAATTTACCTAGAGAAAATATCCGATGCTGTCTAAAAAAAAATAACATAAAACCCTATAAACCTAAGTTTCTTCACACTCTGAAACCAGACGATAATGAGAAATGAATGGAGTTTTGTCTCTGGGCACTGGGACAATATCTCAATTACCGATTTTTTTTTAAATATTTTATTCAGCGATGAGGCCACATTCACGACGAATGGAATTATTGTATCATCACAGAACTCGCGGTGCTGGGTTTCTGAAAATCCAGAGTGGATAATTGCCGAAGTCAATATAGTCATAAAGTTAACGTTTGGAGTGGGATACTTAACGAGAGAGTCATTGGTCCGTTCTTCTTTAAAAGGAATATGAATGGCGAACAATTTCTACATTTCCTTCAGAACGAATTTTTTAATGCAGTCGATAATCTTCCATTACAAGAAAGAGTAAATCTACATTTTCAGTTGTATGGATGTCCAATACACAATGCGAGACAAGTCAGGGAGTGGCTTAACGAGAATTTCCCCAATCATTGGATAGGTCGAAACAGTCCATTAATTCATTGGCCACCCCGATCTCCGGACCTTACCCCACTTGATTTTTTTCTGTAGGGCTTTATTAAGTCCAAAGTTTATAAGACACGGCCAAATAACCGGGAGGTATTGTGCACTAGAATAAGGGAAGCGTGTGAGGAGATTAACGCGCATCAGTTACGAAATGTAAAATATATAAAAAAACGTTATGAAAAATGTATAGAATTAAACGAAGGATTAGTGGTAGCTAAAAAATTTAAATTTAATGACGTGATTAGTGTAAATCAATTTGACAGACTTCTTTTTCATTTTTAAAAATGTAATGTTTTAATCATTACTTTTTTTTATCAATTGTTGTTTATATTTGAGTAATTGTTGTTTATTTTGTGTATACTGATTTTTATGATTCTTATTAATAATTATTAAACCAGTGTTTGTTATTTAATTTTGTTTCCCTTTGGGTTCTATTCGGTTTTTATAAAAGAATAAGTTCACCGACAACGGCATACACTGATGATGCCCATATTGTCATAACTTTTTTAGGGGCAAACTTTTTTTCACAAAAATTGGTACAAATGCATTTGAGGGGTTCCTAAATCCAGTGGTGTAATCAGATTTTTTATAAAAAAAAATCGCTAACAAAATTTTGCTATTTTTCACTTAAAAAAAAAATTCGTAGTAGGCCTTGAAAATCTAAATTTCGTCTTCAAATTTTGCATCAAGATAGAGCTTTTGGAGATCTATCTTAAAAAAAACCGGTTCAGATCGGTCCATAAACAACTTTTGTACGCGAGTGTTTCCATTCTTAATGGGTCACCTTGTATATTTGCAAATGCTTAATTTTCAACAAGGTACCTAATGGATTTTAAAAGTTAACAAAAAATGAAGTTTTCAAATTAAAAAAAAAAATGTGTGAAAAATTGTGTAGGTACATTATTATTTTTCAAAGTATTGTCCATCTTTCTGGTAGCATACAGATTCTGCGTTGACATAAGAACTCATCTTTTGATGCTAACTACTAATCATTCCAATTTTTCATATATTTGTAAGATTGGAAGCCTGGCCGTGTTCCATGAATCGGAACTATCAATAATTTGATTGAGCAATATCTGGTGAATATGGGTGGTGTGGTAAAACATTTCATTTCAGCATTTCGAAGTATTTGTTTACTTCAAGAGCAACATTGTGTCACGTTGAAAAATTACTTTACCTACGACCACTACCTACTGTAAATACTTAAAAACACACTGTCTGCGATCAATGTAAGATTCCTGTTACGTACGGTAAAAAAATCGCACAGTTTTTCTAGCAACCGCCTAGCAACGGTCAATACAATACTGTTTGTATTGGCCGTTGCTAGGCGGTTGCTAGGAAAACTGTACGATTTTTTTACCAAGCTGTGCGATTTTTTTACCGTACGACGTAATAGGAATCTTGCATTGATCGCAGACGGTCCGTTTTTAAGTATTTAAAGTAGTGGTCGTAGGTAAAGTATAGTACGTAATACGTGGTGTAATGCAATTACGCACTCATAGAATTACGCACTCGCCGCTATGCGGCGTCGTGCGTAACTTTTCCATTCGTGCGTAAAATGCTTTTTACAACACTTATTACGTAATATACTATTATTTTATTAATTTTCCTTCAACGCACGGCTCAAATGCATCAGTTGTGTTCGGTAGCATTCACCAGTGATGGTTTCATTCAGTTGAATCAGCTCATAGGACACAACACCAAGCTGGTCCCAACAAATACAGACCATGAGCTTTGCACCATTAATATTCGGCCTTGCCGTCTGATGTTGATGCCGATCCCATGACTTGCTACACTTAGGATTATCATAGCGTATCCACTTTTCATCGCCAGTGACGATATGATGCAAAAAACCCTTTCTCTTTTCGATTCAGCAAGTTCATCTTGTGTTTGACATAAATCTTGGTCTAGTAATGCCTCCAATTCCTCAACCTCAAACTTCTTCGGTTGACGTTCTTTGTCAACTAAATCAAAATCGCCACTTCTAAAATGTCTAAATCAATACTCACACATTTTTATCAATGGAGTATGTTCTCTGTAAGTTTCCAACAGCACTCGAATGACTTTTAGCAGAAAATTAAAGCTTTCCACAAATAGTGTTTTGTTGGTTCGTAATTCGACATCTTCGGAGCTGAGAAAAAAGTATGTTGTTTACACTGCAGCAAAATGACAGATAATAAAAAGTATAGCGTAATCACGGTCCGTATAAAGAGACGGTTGCCGCATAAGTCAATCAGCCAATAAAAAACAAATACGTCACCAAATTCCTCAGTTTATCTTCGTTCAACCGTCATCTCTTTCTGACTCACTGCATATCCCATAAGAAAATAAGAGGCAAATTTAAAATTGTCACTTTTCTTGTACCACGCTCCTTTTAACATAAAATAATAAATTTAATCAGATATGATTATGGTTAATTAACAGATATTTTGAGTCTAAAATGTTACCTTTATATACAAACTGAACCTCTACATTGGAATTTGGAAATAAAAGGATGAAATATCAAATTGTCTTGAATACACACAATGATCGGCCACCAATTTTGACGTTTGGTTACATAATTAACCTTAAACTTGTGTTAATTTTATTACAGATATCTATTAATATCCATAAACTCTAAAAAAATGAAGAGGGGAAGTGAATGTATAAACAATTTAGACATATCTTAATATTCGCTTGGCTCCAAAATAAAAACTACAATTTATGTGATCTTATTGCATCTGCTTTTGTCTTTAGTTAAAGGACCCCGCAATAATCTTATGGAAATTGGGTTTCTATCAAATTGTCTGAATTTTTGATATGTTGTAGATTTTGTCATCCTGAACAAAAGTCTCCATGGGCACAAAGTGCCAAAATGAACATTTTGGCAGCTACGGAGCTGCCAAAGCTCCCCTGACCCGTTGCAAAACTATTCATTTTCAATACTATTTACAGATGTCAAAAGCATATTTTAATTATTCTAATATATAGGGTAATGTTTTTGAGGTCACTGGATTCAACCCTCATGTCAGATTGGACAAATTGACCGTTGACAGCTGTCAATACACTGTCAACGAAGAATAGAAAAGTAAATATTCTCTTTTCACATTGAGAGTTTGGGCTTTTGAGGGAGCTGAATTCAATTCTCATGCCAGATTGGCAAAATTGACAGTTGACAGCTGTCAATTGACTGTCAACGAGGAATATAAAAGTAAATAT